CTGTGTCCCAGCCGGTGTCACCGCACCCAGGCCGGTGCACGGGCATGGGGAACAACGCGGTGCCAACCCCGCCGCAGACCTCAGCCACTCTCCGTGACTCCAGGCATGGATATTTACAGCGGGAGAACAAAGAGCCCATAATCTATACAAAGCAGACAACAATGAGCGTGAATAAAGAGGCTGCCGGAGAAGGGAAGGCAATTTATTCTAATTCTGCTAATTTCAGTTCCAGCACAATTAAAAAGGCTCTGATAATATTCAGAAACAATCGCCAGCTAACAAATCGTTTCTCTCGCTGTAAATGAAACATTGTTAGGCTAATTTCTTCTTTCACGCCTTCACGGCTCTTGGGCTTCTGATAAAGTTAACCCGACTCTTGCCTGCGCCATGGCTTGGCACCTCCAGCCTGGCTGGGGAGGGATGGATGGGGCCGGGGAGGGATGGACGGGGCAGGGACCCTGTGTGGCCCCCACCCAGGGGTGTCCAGACCATCTCGAAGCACCAAGCCCCAGCCAGGAGGAAGATGCAGATGCCCCATATAAATATAAAACCTGGGGTTTGGGTACCACAGCATCACTGAGAGCCTGCGGGGACGATGGGTGGCTGGCAGCATCCTGGTCCTGTGTCACTGTGGTCACTGGATGCATCCCACTCCCATTCTATCCCATTACAGCATCCTGCTCCCAGTCCATCCCACTGCAGCATCCAACTCCCAGTCCATCCCAGTGCAGAATCCAACTCCCAGTCTGTCCCAGTGCAGCATCCTGCTCCTAGGCCATCCCATTGCAGCATCCCGCTCCCAGTCAGTCTCACTGCAGCATCCCACTCTCAGCCCTTCCCATTGCAGCATCCCGCTCCCAGTCTGTCCCAGTGCAGCATCCTGTTCCCAGTCTATCCCACTGGAGAATCCCGCTCCCAGCTCATCCCATTGCAGCATCCAATTCCCAGCCTGTCCCATCGCAGCATCCCCCTCCCAGCCTGTCCTATTAGAGCATCCTGCTCCTAGTCCGTCCCAGTACAGCATCCCGCTCCCAGCACATCCCATTGCAGCATCCCGTTCCCAGCCTGTCCCATTGCAGCACCCCGCTCTCAGCACACCAACCCATCCCCAAGGGATGCTCTGCCACTGACGCTCCCGGCTGCACGGGTTAAATGAACTACTGGATAGCTTAAAAAAAAAAAAAACTTTAAAAAAGGGGAAAAAAAAGGAGGAAAAAAAAAAAAGCAAGCGAGGGAGTGCGGAGCAGGGAGCAGAGCGTCACTTCTCCGGGATTGCTGGAAGCCCTGCACAGTTATCACCGCACACAGCCTCCCTCGGCTTGCCTGATCTGTCTATTCTTCATTAAGCAAATACGCTGAAATGGAAATGAAAACATAATAGCTATTTGATTTTCGGCGAGATATTTTGCATATTGGTTCAGTGCTGATAGTGGAATTTCATCAACTCCCTTTTTTCATGCTTTAAAACTGAATTACTGAGGCTGGCTTTACAGAGAGGGGAAGAGCCAAAAAATGCTCCCTTCCAAGATACTCTGCTTCGACGATTAACTCTTCTCCCTCCTTTTTTTTTGATAACATGGAAGGATTTTTTTTTTTATAAAAAATAATAAAATTACAACAATTGTAAAAACTTATGGGATGTGCCCGTGTCACCCATGCACAAGCTGGGTCTGTGGGTCCGGCCGGGTTGGCATTCCCAGCGGTTGGAAAACCCATCGTTACCCAGGTGATGTTTTAATAATTTCCCTGAAATTAAGGCGTAGTAACAATCAACCTTTTATTTTCTTTATGCTTAGCTGGTCAATTAAATCAAAGGGAAAATAATATAGAGTTGTGTTTTTTTAAATAAGGGATGGAGGGGGACTTTTTGGGGCTGCCAAGAGTGAGACCCTGGGCGCTGCGAGAGCCGGCACGCAGACAAGAGCAAAGCGATAAGCGGCCCCGATAACAGATAGAAAATAGCAACAGCCCCAGACTTTCCCACCGGCTCTGGAGCAGGAGGAGGAGGAGGAGGAAGAGGAGGAGGAGGAGGAGGAGTCTCCATGGAGGAAAGCTGGGTTCTGGACTGAAAACATGTGCAGGCTGTGGGCAAGCTGCCTTGGCACGCAGCCGGCTCCAAAAATGGATTTTTTTTTTCCAAAATTAAAAGGCTGGGTGGGCGGTAAGGCCAAAGGGGGGCCTGAAACACAGGGTGCAGCGAGTCCAAAGGGTGCTTGGTCCCAAGGTATCACCCCATGGCAGCAGCAGGACCCAGGGGATGCCCCTGGCTGCACCAATGAAGGCTCTCTTCTTCCTCCATCCAGCTCCTCCCTATCCCCCAATCCATCTTCCAATTAAAAATAAACCAAAAGAATAAAAATAATAAACAAACAAAGCCCAAAGCAGCTGGGTAAGGCTCCCCACCAGCACCACCACGATCCTCATCCATCATATTGTGATCAAAATATGAGGAATCCAGCCCAGAAATTGCCCCCTCGGGCAGCGCCGCTGACCCTCAAC